AGGTCAACAGATGTCGGCGACGAGGCATGAATAAATTCACAGAGCCATTAGGTAGAGTAGGTGTCTCTCGCTTTGCAGGTTGGGGTCCGAAAGACTCCACAACTGGTTGGTTGGAGACACTGAAGGATATGGCAGCTAACTGGCAGCAGTGGCGTTCTTGTTGTCGTTTCTTATTAGGTCAGAATGCTTGAAACGGTATGTATGCAGAGTTGGATTGTATACTCTGTGTTGACCATAGTGGCTCATCTTCTTCTCCCTCCCTCCAAATAGATCTAATCCCTTTCAAACTTAAATTTTACTACTAACGCATTGCGAGTTTGGCAGCGATCAGTGAAGTTCGCTTTACTGTATTTCGCTGTACGATGATGATGATGATCGGAGACTCGAATCTAGGATCCTAGTACCATGAGCCACTCAAATGCATTGGAGTTGTTTTCGAGGTACTTCCTCCGCACCTCAGGTGATGAAGAAGCCCGTTCGGTAGGCCAGCGTGGCGTTGGCATTGTACTCATCAATACAGCCGAGGCGTCGCTAATCGATTGGATCCCGTCAACACTCGCTTATGTGCGAATCAGCTTCAAGGGTCTATCAGCATCCGAAAGGGAAGCAACACTAAAACGTTTTTGTTCATCATTTCAGCGTGTGCACCAACCAACTGCAGTTATGACGCACAGAAAGACGAGTTTTATGATAAACTCACCGAACTCATACGGTTGAGCCGAATCTCCGGTATAGTTTTTCTCACGGGTACTTTCAACGTGCAAGTTGAAAAACTGAGCGCATCGGAAGCTTGCCTAGGCGGTCGTCGCGCTCTGCCCTGCCGGCGAACAGATAACGGCGACCGATAGCTTTATCCACATTCGCGCAGAAAAACCGGTTAGTCATCTACAAACCTACGCGATGAACCCGGAAAAACGCTCCATCCACCCTTGCTTTGTATCAACCCGACGGCACCCCAGCACCTCATTAGCAGAAGTGGTGAAGATATTCTGGTTCCACTTCGACCAAGTCTTCAGCATTCCCTGGCCTGTAAGTCTCAAATGTTCAATCCCTAACTTAACATTCCCCATTAGATCACTTAGTCATAACGGTCGCAGAAGTGGAAGAAAAACTCAAACGCGTTGACTCTTTCAGCTCAATGGGACCGGACGCAGACATTTTGGCTGCCACACGTCCAACCTTTTCAGAAGCACCTGGACACAACATTGGAAGAGAACAACTGTAATCTCTATCTATAAGAAAGGTAATTTACGCCTACCTGCTAGCTATGGGTCCATCAGCCTAACCAGTATTCCCAGTAGGATCCTCGAACGCTTCTTCAGACGGCGTATTCTGAGGTATCTAATTGAGACCGGTTTGGCAGTTGTTTCCCTACACGCTTTCCTGCCAGGCAAGCCGTGAATCTCCAATATGCAAACCGTAATGGATAGCTCGCCTCCGAAATTCCCATTATGGTTGGGGGTGGGTGTCTAGGGTTGCGGCTGGTCACCCTTCCCTTGCACCTCGCGAAATGCTCCCATATGACAAAGTGTTTCAAATAGCCTCTGCTGACGAAGCCCTACCCACTGCCTTCTCGTGGCGGTGCTTCCCACTAAAGTGAGAGGCCGAAAAGCCTACATCCGGTGCTATAATCGGGTTGGTGGACCACTGGGGAGTTGGCCAAACCCCTGATTCCAAACCAACCCAGAGGAGGCGTACAAACCACACAACTTCTTGATGTGGCAGTGGCCACCGGCTCGATTGAGCATCGAGGTGTATTGGGCACCATGGACGTTCGACCCCATTCAAAGGGCGTATGATCCGATGAACTGAACACCGGCCCCCAATGGATTGCGGTTTTCACACACCGCACCGCTGCCTTGTGGGTCAGGCTATGGTTAACCAAAAGCTCCGGTTGTGGATTCCTCAAGAAAATTCACCTGTCTTGACGTGGGCAACCTGGCAGTATTCCGCCCACATCCAAATCATGTGACGTTTTTTATTTATAAAAATCATTGTGCCGCGACTTTTTGGCACACAGTCTGAACTCAGACTTGTGTAAAATATAATAATGGATGGCTCAACTCGTGAAGGTCATATTTCCCACGCAAACTTTGTTGACTTTGCCAAAGACTTGAACATAGTACCACACATTCATCTCCGGTACAAACTAGAGAGTAATGGCATCACTGATCCTTTTCTTTTCCTTCTTACCAGCTTTCTGTCGAACCGCTCCTTCGCGGTTCGAATAGGCACCTCCGTTTCTCCACACTCCTCGGTTTCCAACGGAGAACCCCAGGGTTTCTTTCTGGAACCCATCCTGTTTCAGATTTATATCAACGATATCCCTAGGCTTATTCTTGTAGAGATTCCTATGTACGCGGGTGACTTCACTATCAGGGGCACAGGCCCATCCGAAGTGCAGTCGGCGATTGAGCAAGCCACAGATGAGGAAGTTGTCTCTAACTTGGTTATGAAGGTATCGGCTAGAACAGGTCTGATGGGTGAACCTATGGAAGCACGGTCGATTTGGTGGTAGAATGTGTTATCAAACTAAAATCGTACATTTCATGTGCATCTGAGTATGAGTTATTTGAGAATTATGATTGAGATGCCTCCAGATATTATTTCTGTGTTGATAAATTCTCAAATTAAATCAACCAAAGTGCCAGTCCCTTTGTCAGGCCTGCTTTAGAGAATTCCATGTTTGGGTTTTAGGTTTTTCAGGGCGTCAGTGTATTTTTTGCAAAAGATCCTTTATCATAAACTTGGTAACTTCGGTATTGACAACAAACTGTAACCAGTGACGGGTTAAAACGTGCTAGATCTTCAGCCCACATGCAGATCATGGAACGTTTTTCTTTTTCATAAAACTTATTGTACCGTGATTTGTTTGGTACACAATCTGGATTCAGACGTTTGTAAAAATATANAAAATATATGATATATAGAACTTCCGAAGAACTTGATGTGAGATCAGTTGTTTGCTCGGCTGTTTCCAAATCGTGCTTCTAAATCCATCTGACTTTGTATAACGAGAACAACCAAATTTGGACCAAAGTGAGTGTTTCAATCACAACATTGCTCAGAACAAGCTCTCAAACTCCTCTGGCCAAGGGAAGAGAAAATCGTTTGTTCACACGACCAGG